ATTTTGAGGACTTCTAAAACTAGAATTTTACATGACTGCCAATACAAAACCACAAGTTACCCTTTCTCTTTTTCTGACTTAGATAATGCAGTGGGATGTGAACATGCATTAGAAATATGCAATGATAAATACAAGATACTGATGAAGTCAATATGCATTAGTTCATGCAAGTATATCTGGAATGTGACTAATCAGAAGAGTTGATTGATTTTGCACATATAAGTTCTACTACCAAAAACTCAGAAGTTCACAAATGCATTAATATTCTTTAAAAAGATAAACATTTATCAAGCTGTGGAAGTTCTGCGAAACAATCTAGCCAAAACTGACTAAAATGAGACATAACCCTCCTGAAAATTAAGGAAATCAAAGCATCCCAGTTCAGATCAACTGGGCCGTAAGTGTCACAGGATGTATTTGCTGTTTCCAACTCAGGAAAGCTCAGAAGCACTGACTAGCTCAGGCTTTACATTTTGTTAAGTCCAAAAAAATCAGTATTTTTAAGATTATTAAGTTTTGACCCACAGGTATTTCAAATTTAATTAAGGTTTCTTTGTCCCTCTAAACTACTTGTTCATAGAAATGCAAACTGGATGGGTTACAAGGTGTGGAGTAGGAACAGGGAGGTTGCCATTTTCCAAACCTCTACTTCTCCTGCCCAGCTCTCCACCCCTGCACTCCACTTGCAGTCACCATTTCCTATCAGATGAGCAACCTGAAGCCCAGTATTCAATGGTGCACATGCAACGCCCTAAAACTTGACAGGCGTGAACCTATCATAGTTTCAGGAGGGCAAAGAAGCAATTTTCACTTCCACATTCAGTTACTATAAAGACCGTTTGGGGTTCAAAAGAGAATACGAAATGGTCAGATTACAAAAGGCATAAACCAGCAGAGACATCCTTGACAACTCTGTCTTCTAGACAGACCAACAAGATAAAGTAGATCTATCTGACTCATTATAAAGAACTCAAATTCCCAACCTTTACCCTACACAACATGTAATGATTACAAATACTATGTCCAAATGTTCTCAGTGTAGCACAGTCCAGACGATTAGAACAGTGCTTAATTATCAGCAATTGTATGTAATTATGCCTATAGTAAAAGGCTGCTGTATGCAAAACAAACATTAACGCAAAACCGAATGGCAAAGCAAAGGCTGACCTTTAACTGGTATCCCTAGAAACGCTTTGGCTAGCTAACGAGTACTACACAACAGTCACATTTTTGCAGTTTCTATTTTAGTGTATGCTGAAATGCCAATACATTAAAAGATCAGTCAGGTTCACTAATTTAGAGGATTTATTTGCTTTACAGAACTATATACTCTACAAATAAAATGGAACCTAAGAGATCAACTTTAAAAGGAAGAGTTCTACCATAATGAATATAGCTTCAAGTTTTAAAAATGCAGATACACAATAAGGCCAAGGTGTAAAGCTTCACCTACAAGTAGCTTTAAGAGAACTGAGAATGGTCTTTCATGTCACAACATTAATACATACCAACTGTCACTCTACTGGTTGTGTCCAGAAATTCGTTCCTGACAATTCAGTTATGATTCTTCACAATACATGGAACATTAATTCTTGTTTACAGTAACTACTGCACAATTTCTGATCTAGAGCCAGCTCAGTAAGCTACTCTAAACACCAGCACATACACAAGGTTCCTTACCACATCTTCCTTTATGCGTCTGCAGAATACTTAACCACATTTCTGTTGTTCTGTGGGTAAAAGCATGAAGCCACCACACAAAACATTCTTCTTCTCAGCCCTGCAAGACGACCTAGGAGTAAGAGAACACCTAGCTGCCTTAAATGAAGTTTGGACATGAGCTCATTTTCAGCATTCCTACTATAGATCTGAACAAGAGCTTGGTAAGTCAGTATCTAAACCCAGGAATGGGGGCTTTAAAAAAAACCAACAATTTCTAGGTATTTGAATGCTTGTTAATGTTACAGTTGCTAAAGTATCTGAAGTTCAAGATATTAAAGAACTTGTTCATGCAGTTCACGCTCTAACCCATTTAGCCACATCCTGATAGAAGCAACCAGACTATTCATAGATTGTTTTTACTTCAAATTAAATGAACAAGCCTGAGAATGTGTTCCACAACCACATGCTTCTGCAGCAAAGCCAGCTTGACATTTCTTTCCTGTCCCCACGTACCACTTCATCACCTCTCTGTTGTGTTGATGCTGCTGTTTGCGAGACGATGCTGAAAACCAACGTTATGTACTGTTGGTGGTTTAAGAAAACAAAAACAGGTATCACCACTCTAGCCACGTCACTGGTTGGTTTCCAGCATTACTCCAACAACAGTTGTACTTACGTAAATTATGTGGAGTTAATGAGCAACCAAAACAGCTGCTTTCCATGTCCTGCCTCTAGAGAAGTCACAACATCCTATACCAGAAGAAACCATGGGGTGATCTAGCCCATTGCTCCCTACACCAAAAGCACCTATGCCATGACTGACAATTACTTCATGATCAGCTCTCAAATCTCCAGAGGTGAATCTTTCACGATGTTCCTCAGCAAAGCAAGGATGCCTTCCTAGTCTTAATTATTCTTCACACACAGAGATAATTTGTTCCCGAAAGTACTCTTACTTATTTACAGATGAATTGTGATTAAGGCAGCACTGAAACTCCACCATCTTGGCCCACAGGACCTTTGCTTTGTCAGGTAAAGCACTTCTGTTGGGTGGGCAACTGTTAAAACTTCTTTAAAAGAATATCGAGAGTGTTAATGATCAGAGTTTTGCACAAAGCATCTTAATACTTTTTAGTATTTAGCCATTACAATGCCATTTTGTTGTTCTGACCAGTGATACACATCAGACAGCACACACTCAAACTTACTGGTGTTTCAGGTTAGTTTCAAGCCTTCCTGTCTTTGTAGGTGTTGGTTCAATGGGGGTTTTGTTCCAAAAAGCATATGAAAGGATCTGTCTCTGAAGCACAGCTAGTGCTGAGGTTTTTTTCCTGATCCCTGACTCTACCAACTGACCTATGCAGAGATATACTTTCATGGAGCACCATTTATGTCAGAACAACTTGCAGCATCCCCGCCTCACTCATCAATATACTGCAAAAGAGCTCAAGCAGTAAAGCTGCACAGATTATTTATAATATGCAGTATACTAAATTATGTCATACTTCATGGTCTTCTAACCATGGCAAGATGCTGCACCTTAATGACATGAGCTATCACTCAGATTGCTTCAGCATGTTCTAGAAACCCCAAGTCTGCAGACTGAAACTGCTGCCTTGATAAGGAAAGGGGAAAGCTCCAAGAGCTGAAGGAGGCCTTGGAGATACTGGTATTATAAAACAGTATAGAAACTTTAGGACAGCCTTAAGGTGGAAAGCCACTTTACTTGAAGAGTAAAGGTTGCATATCAGGAAAATTAAGTAAGACAGACAAGAGAGCTATCAAAACATCAAGGCTGTGATCACAATGCTGAGATGGCAGCTTCCATAACATACCCCACAGCTTTCCAAGGCTAAAAAAATAACAACCCAAAGCCCAGCCTCTTCCTGCAGACCTCCATCACGGCATAAATTGGAATACTAACAGTAAGTTCTAAAGTAAACACCTACATCTCTATTTTCTACTCCTACTCCCTTCCCTGACTCCTTGACTTCAAGAAAAGCCCTTGGAGGCATTAACAAAAGGATTCATGTTGCAGTCTTACGAAAGAAAAAATTGACTTGTTGCCAACTTTTTTTTTCTTTAAATAAGCACCATCTTGGAAGTGTAATTAGCAGCTCAAAAGTACACGTTAAGCATTTAAACTGCTTTTTTCTATGGGACCTGCCTAAGCATTTGTAAACTCAAGACTTCAGCTGTAGGGTAGGAATTATGAGTGCAGGTCCCCAAGCTTATGCCAAGCTTCCCTGCTGAGTGGACTTCTACAACCCGATTTTCACGTAGGAACATAAATTATGTCACTTAATACAATGGCAATAATCTTGCAAGATATTGTACAATAATCACACTTCCAAGTGTGAAGCACCAACACTGAAGAAGGAATACAAAACAGATGAAACCCTGCAGTGAGTCAGTTTGAGCAATTTATGTATAAAGCTTTCCAAAGTACACCATGAAGAAGCCTAAATTTAGACTGGATTCAGTAACATCCGTATTTTGACACCGAAAGTAGTGTAAAATCTCAATATACAGATTAAAAAAAACCCAGATTAAGTTTATGCAACAGGGCAAGGCTCAACCTCTGTCTCATGTAACTAGGACTAAAATGCAGAGGTAGGGTCTGTTGAGATTATTCTTGTGGGGTTTTAAGGTTAATGGTAGCTTTTTCAAGCTCACCATACACAACTGTAACCTCTGAACCCTATACATTCCTCCTAACAAAAAAAACCCAAAACACAGCTGTGGAAATAAGTGACATTTCTTGTACATTCATTCAATTCTGAAGACTGAAAGTCATCTTCATTCAGAAAGATACCGCCTGCATGTAATCTTTAACATGGCATCATTTGGGGCAGGGATGTCATAGCACAGCCTGCACATATACATGTGTACAGCCAAAATTACATGACAAAAAGCACAAAATAATTTAAAACTAAAGTCTGTCAGCAAACAGAACAAGGGCCTCTGCAACTGAATTCTAGTTCACCCCCTGGCACGGTGGTAATTCAAGTAATAAGGCACACTGCACTAAACAAAAATACTTGGCTTTTTGGTGCTAGACTAACAGGCCCATTATTATTTATACTGCCATGCTTTAAAAAACAGATGCTTATGCTCATCTGTTGGGAAAGAATTTTTAGTTTGCTCAGACTTGAGAGCACTCAACACCATTTTAAAGACAGTGATTTCCATTATGACCACGCTTAGAAGAATGTCTTCCTAATGTCTAGTACAGCCTGATCTTACTTTTACTTTGAAAGGTATTACGCTCATTCAATTTTTGACTCTTCACAGAATGTTCTCAACTCTTCACATGAAAAAACATCGGAAGTATTTACCTGCCTGTGCAATATCACAGTCTCATCTTTCCATTTCAGCTCTTCCTCCAAAATTCAAGCAAAGTAAAAGGCCTGAATACATCAAGACCGAACTCAGAGCTCAACTTCAAAATGCAAACAGAAAAGACATGCATGGTAGTATCCTTTCTATAAATGGACTGATCCAAGCGATTCAGATGACAAGGGAACAAAGAGTTAATCCAAATGCAAAGGACTCCAGTAATGGCATAAATAAACCCCCACAGAAGGCTTCACTGCGAGCAGCAAACTCCACTGAGTCCAGATGAACCAGCAGGAAGAACAGAGGGTGGATAATCCTGTAAAATTACCCCAGTGGAAATGTTGATAAATTCCCAATTATGAGACCTGCTCTAGAATGAAAAAAAAGGGCAAGATACAATACAGTTACCAGTCAACACCTGCACATCTTCGTGTTTAAGCCAGACAAATACCACAGGTATTTCTTAATCCCTTGAATTCTGAATTACTTGCCCATTGTGGCGAAATCTAGATTAAGAAAATAAGTCCCAGAAGTCAAAGGAAAAAATCCCATATGAGCTGCAACTCTCGTTGCTAAGCAAACACACATCTGTGAACCTGTATTTTCAATAACAAAACCGCGAAACTGTATTTTCAGCAATACAAAGTGTGTGTATTTCAGTAAAATAATTTTCTATGTGTCTGTGGAACTAGATATTTGCATTAAAGAAAAAACACAAAACCAAACTAAACTAACACAAAAGAACGCTCAAACCCTTTGTTTTACAGTATTTGTTCTGAATATATTCCTTATATTGCACAAAGCAAAGTACCTTTGACACAGATTTCCAGTTTGTGCAAAACTAGCTGACAAAACACACGCTCACAATCTAAAAGCTTACCAAGAGAGAAAGGTGCACAGTTACCTACTTTTCTAAAGCCTTGTCTGATCCCAGGCTTAAAATTCTCCATAAAACTCTAAAGGAGAGAAGCTTGTCCTGCGAGCACGACGGCAGATGTGGGGGCCGGGAGCGCCCGCAGGCTGCACGCGATACAGGAATCCCGCACCACTTCCAGGCTTCCAGCCCCTGCTCACCAATCCGAGCCGAACAAACCCACCACAACAACAGCAACAAAAAAAATCCCCCTAATTAGCTTAATTACCGCGTACCTGCCTCTCGCACCCCGCCGCCATCCCCCGCCCCAATTCCCCTCTGTTTATCCCTGCATGCGTCCGTCCCGCGGTCTCACGTGCCGGCGCGCGGCCCGCCTCCCGCGCTCTCCTATTGGCCGCCGGCGCTGACAATCACGCCTTACGCCAGCGCCACCGTTTCCCTCCGCCGGAACGAGCCAAGGCCGCTCCGGGCCCCAGCGCGGCCTCCGCTCCCGCCGCCGGCGGCAGCTCTGCTGACAGGCACCGCGGCCCGCCCGCGGGGTGCGCACTACGGGAGCGCCTGAGTGGCCTTCGGATTGGGGGGGGGGTGTTGAAACCGTGCGCTGAGGGCGGTCGGGCAATTAACCAGCCTGATGTCATTTCCCTCTGCCTTTGTTTAATTATTTTAAACTCAATTGCACAGTGAGGGGGAAAAAAATATAACAAACAAAACAACAACAAAAAAAACAACAAAAACCCAAAACAGCACAAAAAACTCCAGGCTTCCAGATGCCATTACACTAATTTCGCTTAATTGCCTTCCCGATGCAAACACACCCGGGCTCCCTGCGCGGCGCCGCCCGGCCCGGCCCCCTCCCGCACGTCGGGTGGGTGTTTACGGGCCTCCGGCCGGGGTACGAGGCCGGGCAAGTTCCCGGTGGCGGAGCCCCCCCTTTCCCGCCGCTCCCCTCTTCCATCCCAAGCGTTTCCCACCCGCCTCCCCCGGGAGCGGAGCCTCCCCCCAGGGCATCCCCACAGCAACAATTGCCTGGGGTTCAGCGCTTCCTCCAATGCACCCCATAACACCCCCCTCCTCTACGGAGCCCCTTCACACCGAGGTGCCTCACCCCCTCATGACACCCCCAAACGACGCGGGGCGGGGGTCGCACTCCCCTGCCCAACTCCGAGGGAGGCTTTGCCCGTTGTAACACCGCCGCTCCCTTCCCCCATAGCGGCGCCCCCCGCGGAGCGCTGCCCGCCCCCCCCCGGGGCCGGAGTCGTGTGTGTCCCCCCTCCAGGCGAGGCTCCGAGGCCGCCCCCCGCGATGGGGCCGCCCCTACCTGTGGCTGCAGCATCCCCGTCCCCCCGCCGCCCTCGCTCCGCCGCCTGCCTGGCTCTTTGTTTCCTGCCGCGGGCCGGACGGGAGAGCAGCTCCCCCCCGCCTCCTCCTCACACTCATTGAAAGCAAACAAGCATCATGGCGGCGCTAGCGGCGGCTGCGGGCGGGCGGGCGGGCGGGCGGGCCTGCCGGCCCTCCTCCTCCTCCTCCTCCTCCTCCTCCTCCCTCTCCCTCCTCCTCTTTCGCTCCCTGCGCCCCGCCTGCCCAGGCCGCCCGCACTCCGCGCACGCTCCGCGGCCGCGGTGGGGAGCCCTGGGCTAGAGGGGAGCAGGAGGCGGGCTGGGAGGGGCAGGGAGGCCATAGGGGGGATAAAGGCTTGGGGGAGGCCATTGGAAGGGTGTTTCGGTGTACGTCGAGGTCCGGGGGAGGCAGAAAAGTGGGTGCAGGCAACGCGCCAGCTGCATCGTCAAACACGAAACTGGTATAAATGGTGTATCGCGGGGAAACGGTTTCCAGCGGGAGACCAAGGAAGCCTGGTTAAAATAGGCACTTGTTTGAGAAAGAACTTTAAATTCTCCTGCAGAAGTCTGGATCAGGAATTCGAACTTGCAGGGGATGCGCTCAGGGAAAATGCAGGAGGTGTGATACCAACGCTTTGCAGGAAAGAGTCTCTTTTGTATGTGCGTGTCTTTAATACGACAGTAGAACAGGGGTGACCATGAAATGGCCACCAGAATTGCCATCAGCGCCTCTCTGAAGCTCAGGGTACGGCTCTCATCATCTTCTCCCTTGGACTGATAAATGGATGTGTACCAAGATAATTGGAAAAATAAAGGAAGTTCCTGGTTTGTTATTACTGTCCCTGTACAGTGATACTTTACAGTAAGATGAGAGATGCTAGGTGAAGTGATGGGTGGTGAAGTGCCACCCCTGGTGTAGTACTGGCTAAAATCATTAATAGTGGCTTCCAAATGAAGGGTTTCCTCTGATTTTCAGAGAGTTAAGATGTTGTGGCAGCAAATGTGTGCTTGGTTATCACCACCTCATTGAAAGGAATAATAAAGACATTATCTCACATACACAACCCTATTTCTGAACTGGAAAAGCTAAGTAAGAATTGAGGCCTCATCTGTTTAGGTGTAACCAGATATATAGCTGGAAATAAATGGCACTCATGCTCTATTTGAACATGATAATGTGATGGCTGCCCCATCCCTGGCGGTGTTCAAGGCCAGGCTGGAGGGAGCTTTGAGCAGCCTGGGCTAGTGGAAGGTGTTCCTGCCTATGGCAGGCAGGGGTTTGGAACTAGATGGTCTTTAACGTTCCTTCCAACCCAAAGCAGCCTGTGGTTGAAAAAGGAGGGTGGTATCTGGTCATACTTCTGAGGAACAACACCAACAACTGTAAAAAGCAGTGCTCTAAAAAAGATACCCCTGGCATATACCGTGCCAAACGCAACTGCAAAATGTCCTCTGTCAGAAGGTTGAGCCCTTTGGCACTTTGTTGGAAATAATCCTGCTATACTTCAGATTTCTGTTCAACCTTATCATATCACATATCCGAAATGCTCTCGGATGATAAACTATCCCCTCACCGCATGGCACAGTCCTGCACTACAGATATCTGAGCTAGCTCCGTTACGGGATGCAGCATGGCTCTGGCAGAAGCGCCGTATCCGCTTCCCAGGCTTGGCTGGCTCTGCAGAGCTGACAGTCATTCAGAACTCACTCGAGTAGCTCTACATGTCGTGCTCCTGTGCTGCGTGTCTTTTCTTTCCGATAACCAGCTGTCCCGCACATTCTTCAGTTAATACTTTCTAGGTCAGATATGGCCTCAATAGACTCTATCGTTTCGCCCGGAGCTAATTCTCCAAAAGCAGTAGGAAAGTCTTTGAATACGTTGCAGGATTTTCCAGGAATTGCTGCTCAGCAAAGAAAATTCAGCTGATCATTTTTCTTGATGTCTCGAAAAATGCTTGCAGGGAAAATTCATTCCTTAGGGATGGATGCTGGGGTAATATTACAGGAGACTTGGAAGGGTGTACTGGTGGGGGCCTGCAAGTGGAGAACAAATGGCAGAAAATACCAAATAACTGAGATAAGCCAGAAGGAGCATTAGAGAAAATGATTTTAAAGTGATTAAAGCATAATTCTGTATTATTGCCCATTATATAGACTAACAGGAGATCACAGCAACTTGGCAGATTTCAAGTTAATTAACTTTATGATAACTTCACAGGGTATTTCTAAGGAAACCAGCAATATTTGAAGAGTCTAAAGATACAGCTTTTTATGTCAACAGTTTCCTTTGAGCTGCCAGCTTGCCTGTGTGGTTTGAGACAGCAGAGCAAAGCAAAAACAGGTATGTGGGGGTTTTATTTAGCAACTGTTACGCTCCACTGCATTTCCTGTGCAGAAGTGCTGCTGCTCATCTGTACGTATGATTAACTTTTGCTCCCTGAAAGTGTTATCAGACCTGTAACCAGGCAAACAGCGGAGCAGATGGCCAGTGCCAGTATCAGTGTTTCTGGTCTGGGTGCTTAATGAGATCTGAGAGTGTAACATGAGCCTCTTTCATTTTGTCGGTCTCGCATGGCAGATACACTTGGTGCAAGTGCTCTTGTTGCTCAAGGTCACAGATTCATCAATCAAAAGAAGAGCCCTTCCCATTAATTTTTTACCTGCCTGTGGCAGTTTCCATACATCTCAGGAGCTACTGTGTTATGTGGAGTGCCATTATCCCAAGTTTGGGACAGTCCTGCTCTTACAGGCAATCAGATCAGATCAGAAATTCAGTCACCTCTTAAAACACAGTGTTAAATTTACCATACTCTGTAAGCTTTCATTCATTAACCCTGAAACCTTTTAGTGCTGTGCAGTAAGGCTTCAGTTGGGCCAAATGCTGGTTTTGACACACAACCCTGTGTCCACAAAATGACAACCTTCCTGGCCTTACACATGAAGATAGTATTTGCTGTGAGTGGCTAAAACCTCTTAGCACCCTTGTGTCTCCCCTCCATGCATACATCCAAAGCAGGAGCTGCAAGTTGCCTCAGCAGGCTTAAGGAGGGCTACTTGGTCCACCTTATGAATGCTGACAGCTCTTTTGAGATCCTGTTGCCACCATGCACTGACAGAGGGATGTGAAACCTGTGGTAAAGAGTTGTCTTTGTGGCTGAGCTATGGTACATTTTGTTTTGTTTAAATTGCCAAATTTGGTGAAGGTACACTCTGGAAATACCTACATAAGATTGTGCAGTAGAGGCTTATTTGTCTTCTAAGTTCTTTGTGGTAAAAGATGTAGTCTTCATCCTGCATGGGTCATACATGGTGGATGAGCTGAAGACATCACCCATCCTGAGAGAGAGTAGGTGCAGAGCTGTCATGGCTCGTGAAAGCTCTCATGTCTGGGCTTACAGAAGAGGTGAGCAAGGCAAGGCCCAGTGCTCTTTGCTCCCTCTGGAAATGTGAAAAGCCCAATGTAAAGAGAGGCAAGAAATGAGGCAGGGGAGGAGAGCAGAGTTATAGCAAAGCAGGGGAGATAATGTGGAAGAAAGAAGGGAGTAACTGGCAGGAATAGAGTCGTCCCAGTAGGAGGACAGAGCTTAACTATGATCTGCGTGTTCAATATATCCAGGTAGAGAGGCAGGATCTGAACTGCAGGGGAACTTCCACAGCTATTGAGAGCAGTGGGATCACTGCTCTGAACATGGGATATTCCTACAATGACAGGTATGCTTGAAAAATGAGGGCTTGGAGCACTCATAGTGGAACACTCGTATTGCACATCTGAAATCATTGCATGCTTAATGATTTCAGCCTTAAGTTTTATGGCCTGTTCTCCATCTACTGAGTGAATGTAAGAGCATCTTCTGTCACAGTTAGAGAGTAACAATAAATCTTTGATGTTTATTGAGCATTAAAACTACAGTGAAAGCCCCATCAAAAAGCATTGAGGCAATTAATATTCCTGCTTTCCTCTGCATGGAATGGAGTTCAGTGGTTTCCAGAAGACTTGCACGTAAAAAGATAATTGAAAACTCCCTTTATGCATATCCACAACAGAGCTGAATTAAGGAATTTTAATCCTGGGATGCCACAATTTGTAGGTAAGAGCTTTGCAGCCTTAGTGTTACTTTAATATGCATTGTTACACAAAAATGGTCTAAGTACTTAAAAAGAAGTTGAATATGATCAAAAGCTTTCTTTCTGGAAATATTTGCATTTAGTATGAAGACTTCCATGGTGAGAGAAGAATTTCTAACTCCTTTTTGACAGTTATGGATGCTATTATTCAACTCTGCCACCACCTGAGGTGCTTGTGTGCCATGTTGAAATGGCTGTTAAAGTTATTTAGATGTTTGATCTGTTATCAGGATGGTAACAGTTTAAAATATGTACTGAATCCTGTTCTCTACTTTAAGCTTGCAGGTCTATAGGGCATTTAGTCATTAATGTGTATGCATTTGTGCTATACTGTAGTAGTGAAGTAACAGATCTAAGAAGACCATAATTCTTACTTGTCCTAATCAAATATTAAAATCTGAACACTATTAAGAAGCTGGACTCATGAACTATGATGTGGTTTTCCTCATTGTTATTTTTTAGGCTGATTCTTACACATTTTTATCTCTAGAATCACCTCTCCAACTCTTGGTGACCTTTCTCCAAGAAGATGACCATCTTTTCACATTAAAAATAAGTTAATGATATGAAAGAAAAAGTAGAAGGTACAACCTGCGTGCATTCATTACATGGGCAGAGCTCTTGGTTGCATTCAGAGCACTGCAAAAGGAGCTTACAAAGCTTAGCCTTTCATGGCACAAGCTTTTATGCATGTGAGTGAATAGTGAAAATTGCTATGAAATACTTGAATGCCCAGTTATGGAGTTCAACTGAGAGGATAAATGCCAAATAATGGCGTTATTGATGTAAGATGGAAGGATTCACATTAGTGGAAGGCCAGCTGCTCAAGCTATCTATCCATCTTTTTGGTCCTTTCTAAAGTGTCTTCTTTGTACCCATTTTGGCGGGTTTTTTTCCCTTCTTCTGTCAGCATCTTATTTCCCCATCTGTATTCAGTCTTGCTTCTCCAGCAACAGAAACATATTTACTTGCAAGCTGATCCCATCTGTGCTCCTGCATTGTAAAGCTTCCCCCTGCCGTGGCACTGCATGTCTGATTTAGTTTGGTACAACTGCTCAGATGCTCCAGCCTTCAGGAGTGCCAGGATCCCACACTGTGGCTCAGACGGGCAAGGTACTGTCACTTGGGCATGGCTTTAATAAAAAGAGGGTGTGTGGTTTTTCTTGTGTAAGAACATGCAGTGACACTATAATCATTTGATGCCTGATAGTTCAGTGACATGGAAGACTGCTGAACTTTTAACTTAATTGGGTCTTCTCATGCTTGCACTGTTTCCTGCTTATGAACCAGGATATATGGGTACTATAACTCAAATATACACTAAGCTGTCTCCGCTGCAGTCGCATACCTTGCAAATTAAGTAGGATCAGGACTCAAAAGAGATAATGAAGGAGACCTATGTCCTGGAGGAAATTACCATGAATTACAAAATGATGGTTTCTCTCTTAATAAAAAATGAGCAAATGCTCCAGTGTGACACTAGGGAACTCTTCAGTTTATAAAGGTACTGTCTTTCAGGAAATACATATGTTAATCCAGCTGTCATGCATAAATTCTCATTTGAGGCCTGATCTAATTCCCATTGAAGCAGAGATGGACTCAATCTACTTAAATTTCTCCATGCAGTTTCACGGCTTTCCACTATCTTCATCTGTTGTATCACATTACCGTGTGTGGGTAGAGTTGCCACATTCCACCCATGACACAACTGTTTCAGTGGCAAGTGAAGTGATATGTGCATATGGTATATGCAGTCTTTACACAAACCGTATGCTTTCAGACAGCTATCTATGCAACTGGGAGAAGTTATGAGGGCTTTTTGAATATAAAGTCCATTTGCTACATTATTAGAAGATGTTGCAAACTTTGTCATTCCCATGACCTTACTTTTGATATTTGAGAGATGGAATGAGTGATTTATTGTGTACTTCTTGTAAATGAGTAACTCAGTTTAATAACTTTGAATAACAATAAAGTGGTTGTGTGAAGATTTTAGGATCAGTCTCTTCAATTTTCTTATTTCTTGCATCAAACCTTAGGCCCAAATTTACTTATAGAACAGTGAATTCATGCAATTTCCAATTACAGTTATAAATAGTCTTCCTTTTGCTACCTGTTTTACATTTCTAATATGGTAAATGTCCTCATTCATCTGAAGAGTTTCGGCTGAGAACAGTGTTTAATGGGGAAATAAAACCTCCACTGAATTTATAAAGTACACTTTAATCATGAGGCTGTTATAGGCACTAATATTATTTTTTCCATTGGTAGTTACAAAAAAATACAAAATGAGTGGATAAATTAAACTAGTAGTTAAGTGTGGATGTTTCTGTATTATCTGCATTGATAAAATACTTTCCTTAGGACCTTAGGTTTGCAGAGGGGGGACACAACAAAATATTGGGTAAAACCCCAACACAGCCAAAATGATTAAATACTAAATCTCTGCAGCTTCTCATGGAGCTACATCTTAGATCACTTGTGTTCTGCAGAGCTGGTTCCACTGCTCTAGGAGTAGGATTCACCTAAATAAGCACAGGGAAATATGTGTGTTAGCTGCTCACCCTAAGCTGCCCCTATAGTTAGTCTGAGGCTACAACTACACATCATTGAGGCTGTAATTCCTTTTTGAGGCTTTGAAGGCAAAGCATTGGAGCTGAGATTATGAAACTGGAAGAGGTTTGTTTCCAGGACCAGGAGACCTCAGTGAGCTGAACGAATGCAAGGTATTCACTGATGCAAAGGGGAGAAGGTGACTCAGTGTCTAGAGCTGCACTGTCTAAAGGGCTGCACCACAGAATGGCATTTGCTCAGAGAAAGATGGAAATCCTTGCCTGCTTCTCAGGTGATCACTGCAGGTGACAGGGAGAAAATCTGTCCAGCGTTTGCAGCTGGTGGTTGATGTGGTGCATTAAGGGTTTTCCACTCCTTCCGAAATATTAGACACTTAAAATAAATGCCTTCAAGAGGGCAAAATGCCAGGTTGGGCGAGCCACCGGCCTGCCCTGCTGTTGGTTTCTCTGTGTCCAGAATTGTTGGGCTGTGAGATTAAAAAAAAAGAACAAAAACTGTAGGACAAAAGTCAAAATCTTTGAGCCTAATGCAGCAGACTCAGGCTAAATCACGTTTCCTGAAGTGTGGCTCTCAATATCAAGCCTGCTCCTGAGGAACTGGCAAATGCTCAACAAGCACAACACTGAGACAACTGGCAGCCTGAGTCACTTTTGCATGTGATTGTTGAATGTGACAGATTGAGAATAGCAAGGAGTACAAGTTCATGCTATGAGAGTGAAGTAACCCAGCATCCGCTGGCTGGCTCAAGCCTATGGGTAGATGTGGAGTGCTGTGGCAGAGAAATGCCATCAGGGCTTTGAGGAAAATGGGTTTAGCACACATGAGATTTTCTTCCTTTGCTCATTTTTATTTCCCCATAGATTGTTTCTTCTCTTTATGGCGGGTAGAAAGTAAGAGAAGAGCCCTTGAAATATTTGTGAAGCCTGGATTGCCGTTAACTCATTCCTCTTTTTGCTTTTTCTCTGAATACCTTTTGCCTTTCTAGTTCACATAGATGCTGGCTTGGCCTTTCTGTTCCCTGGTAGTTACTGCTCCAGCACGCTGGCTGAACAGAAATTATTTCAGATAAAATTGGGGTAAAAGTGCTTATAGAAATGACTGCTTCCAAACCAGCACAGTGGAGGTTTGCTTCCAGAGCAAATTGTGACAGGCTTAGGAAAGCCTGGGAAGTTACTGATGAAGTCTCTGCTGCACTTGATCAAAATATTAATCTTGGTAAGTTATTAATTAAATTTATCCACACTTTATTTCCATACATGTTCCCGGAAAAGGCAACATCCTTCCCTATTTCATGGCCATAAATGTTCGGTGTGTGATCTCTGCCAGCACAGCTGAGCGCATCGACTGTCCAAGACAAACCTGTAACGTGTTCTGTGCTGAGCCGGTGTTTGAAGTTTGCTCCTCAGCCATACAACAGTGTATGGGAGGGATTAGTTAATTTAACCTTTGTAAAACAATGTGCTTGATTAATTAGGTATGGAGGTGTTCTCAGGGTGTTGGATGAGAGGTGCTGTGGGGCAGTGGTACCAGTGACGTTGCAAAAGAAGCAGATGTAAAGACTCAGGGCCCTTGCAAACACGGAAGCCTCTGCACAGGCTGAGAAGGATTAAAGTAGATTTTTGATGTGTCCATAAGTCTTTTCCATTCTTTTTCTCTAAGATCTTATGTGTAACCATGGGTTCAGGATGTGTGGTTCTGGTTACAACAATCAGAGCCAGATCTTTTTTCTCCTTTAATTCCCTGTTAATTAGGACTTTGGGAAGGTAACAATCCCTGGGAGTCTTCTGGCTGCAGTGAATGGGGAGTACCTTGACTTTACTGGTCTCCATTTTATTTTACAATAATTAAAGGTAATACATTAACACAGGAAGAGCCTGGCCCTTTGCTGCCTCCTGTGCCAGGCACACTGTTTGCTCACCACAGCAACAGAAAGCCATTAAATACATTCTTTGTATTTGTGAGCTCAGGGCCATTAATCTTGCCAACCTTAGGTGATTAACTGCTTCAGATCTTGTGTTGGTAGTTTGGAGTCGATGACCTGGTGGGATGTATGGAGGTGAAGTGACCTGGACAGAAATTTGTCTATTTAAACCCATAGTTATTCAGTGAATCTTTTGCTGGTTTTCGCCATGGTGGCTGTTTATAACAGCATCAGCCTGTCAGTGGTGTGCCAGCGAGTGATGATGGACCCCAGGAGAGTACCCAGGCTGTGGCTGTTGCTGTTTCTCCATCATGGTACGTCCGTGTTCATCCATGGATCTGACTTTCTCATGAAGCTGCTCCTGCCTGGGCACCTTTCTGACATTCCCTTCAGCCTCATCTCCTAATTCTCTCCTTGATGTTACTCTTTACAGAACGTAATTCAACAACAACTCAACACTTCTCTTTAGCGTGGCCCCTCCACAGACTGAAGCTACTCTTGATGTGCTGGCGCCTGCGTGGGGCATCAGTCTGCAGTGCTGCCCGAGCTGTGGAGAGACCGTCCAGTGCCAGACCATGCTTAAGAGCCTGCTCTTGCAAATAATGGACAGCAGGTGGTAGCACATGTTCATCACTTTTTAGTTTTTATAAAGAATTAGGCTTCGCAAAGCTTCATCTTGTGTGATAAAAAGGGGTAGGAGTCGGAAAGGCTGCTTGCACAGGAGGACGAGCACCTGGCTTGCTCCCAAGTTTTCCTGGTTTTCCACGAAAGCTAAAGCCCCTCCCTTCCTCTCTGGCATTTCTAGAGACACTTTTCCACTGTGAGCTCCTTTGCTGTTACCAAAAGAGCTTGTCTTGGCTTGACTCTATGATGCCATGTGGGATAATTTTGCTGCAGAAGCATGCAGGTAGTGCTGAGCCAGCAGAGCACTGGGGCTGGGAACAGCAGCGAGCTCAGACTGTGCTCCTGCATGGAAAACCAAATTAAACTGGTTGCACCAGCTAGCAGCGCTGCTGGAAGGAAACAGCCCCTTCCAGCCCAGAATTCACCCTAGAGCTGTGATGACAGCCAGGGCACTGTTTCAAACAGAGTCTGGCCACTTGGTTGAGTCTGCCCTCCAGATAGCAGATAAAATGGACAGAGCCCTCTTCCCTATGAGCTGTGCATCAACAGGAGCAATGTAGGCTATTTGGGACACGTATTCCTGTAAGTGTGTGTTAAGATGCTGCTTTGGTTGGCTTGGTGAGAACGTCTGCATAGGACTGGACAAAGAAGCAGATGTGGCTTTGAAGCATTCAGCCCACTTACTCCACATGTCAAGAATACATTCATCCCGCAACCTATTTAGTAGACACTTTGATTACTGCTCACTTTGGAAATATTCCAGCTCCAATAAAGGAGCAAACTTGTTTTATTTTTTTAATAACTAGACTTCATAATTAACTTACATGTTATGACAGTCTGCTGTGAAAAGCAGAGCTTCAGTGAAACATCTTAAATGAAATTAAGGCGATCTAACCTCAGGTTTCTCATTTGACTGGGTTTGTAATTGCTTTCAGACTGCCCTTAAAAGCGCCCACATCTGGACAACAACATCTGCAGTTTGGACACTGGGATAATGACTGAGTTCTTTCCTCCTCAGACCTGGGCCAGAGCACAGCTGACGTGTACTGGGAGGCTTAACCCTCTTACATGGCATGTGTTTTCAGGTGTAGCTGGTTGTAGATAGATTTAAATCTAATCTATTTATATGTATTTATAGTTGTGAGAACAGAAATGCCAGCATTTTCCACGATAGGAAATGGATGCTGTCACAGGAACATGTGATCCGACTTGATCCTGCTTATTCTAAATTGCTTAGGTTTTTTTCAGGACTGAACTAATTAAGCTGTGTTTGAGGTTTTATGTCTTGATTCTGACAAGCCAGAACTTTGCTTCTGCAGCAGCAGGCTGGGATCCTGTTCCCAACTTTAATGCAGAACAAGTAACAGTTCTCCAAGGAACTGGCCAGATCTCTACATCTTCCAGAAGTTTGTTCCATGTAGTTTAAATTAGTTCTCAATGCACTGTAGTCAAAATGTCTGTTTTTCAGTGCAAAGCTGTCTCAGGTGCCACAATATGTGGCAATATCACCTTCTTCGATTAAACTTTTACCAGTAAAACCTCATTAGTTCCCATCTGGATAACCTAGAAGATGCATTATCACTGCAGTCTTGTTTTCCAGAGTTGTAGTTGAGCCAAACCCCAGTTCTTCCAGAAAAGTGGATATATTCATTTTATGTCCCAGTCAGCTGGTAAATCACGGGGTAAATGTTAACAGCAGGAACGGTTCCTCAATGAGGTTGCAAGATTCTAAGTTACTTTTTGTAAAGTTTACAGAAAAAATACTGACTAGGTAGTAAACCATCCTATGAAGGACACAGTTTAAGTGGAGGAGAAGGAGGATTGCCAATGATTACTTATTTGTTCTTAAGAAAGTGAATGTAGAAGTATCTGATC